CGGGCCCCGGGGTGATGACACGTTAGGACCCCGAAAGCATATTCTGCCACGGCTGCGGCTTTTGCGGCGGCACGGCCGGGTCTGCCGGGTCGGGGCCCGCCGCGGCGTGGCGTGTGTTGATGGATGGGGTCATGGGGGCGGGGCTGGCCGGGCCCCGGAGGAGCCCCGGAGGAGCCCCGGAGGAGCCCCGGAGGAGCACCAGCACGCCGGGCTAATGGCGGCCCAATAAGCCGGTAACTCACGTCCTCCGGACTGCCCGCTGGCCCCGAGCTGACCGTAGGATGGAATCGCAGGTCCCATCTCACCTCAGAGCCGAGTGCCCTGCCGTGCCCCGAGCGGCCCGTATGATGTATGAGAAAGGTCCAGCGCGACATTCCGACGCGGCGCGCGCGGGAGTGGGGACGGGCCAAGGGCGGCCGGGCGCACCGAGAAAAGGGTTCATATTCAAGGAAATTAGGCAACTCGTGGACCCTCCCCCGCCCGCTAGAAAGAGAAAGAGAATCCATCCCCGTCACCTCGCACGAGCGGTTGTAAGGGGGTGAGGTAGCGCTCCCCCCTTCCCGTCAGCCTCAGGTGAGACGCCTGGAAGTCAACATAGTACGCCGGTACACAAGCAACCCACGCGACAGCTATCCCTGCCCGTCAGCGTGTCACCCCGCTGCTTCTGCTGTGCACTCACCTGCTCATGCTTCTTGAGGTAGGACAGCCGGGGGAAGGCCTTGTCGCAGAAGGAGCAGGCGTACGGCGTGCCCTCCGTGACCCCCACGGTGAAGGCGAGCTCCGAGTCGGCCACGTCGGTGGCCGAGTTGGGCGTCGCGCAGCTGCTCGGTGACGGCGACGTGGCGTCCTCGGGGGTCTCGGAGCGCCACGACGAGCCGGGGTCCGTGCCCAGGGCATCTGCAACAAAGAGGGGGGCGCGCTGTGAGCAACACGGGCACCGGGCACCGGAAGGGATTCACATGGGGCGGGCACTCTTTATTCCATTCGATTTGTAAATAAAACGCATTAATAAAAAGGCAGTAAAAGGTCGTCATAAATACGGAGAGGGGCGCGGGCCCCGCCTGCTCCTGCCGGCGCCGCCGTGTGGGTGGCGGAGCGTGGCGGCGACATGAGCTGATGGTGTAATTATTCAATTAGGCTGTATGGATGTCCGCGTCAACATGTGTGGGGCATCATCTCGCTGCACTTCGTGTTGTCTCAATCCACACTCCCAGCTTTTTAATGAGGAAATCAGTAATCTAGTGAAGCAAGGCGGGCCTGCTGCTGCAGCAGCAGCGTCGTAAAAGGCGAATGAAGGAAAAGTGTTTATAACGATCTCACAATGAAGTTATTCCATTAGAAGGAGAGGGAGAGAAAAGGGGGAGGGGGGAGTCGGGCGTGACGAAACGAGTGGAAGGAGTGAGAGGGAACGAGGGGCGGGAGGGGTGGGGGCACGGGGCTCGGGGGACAAAGAGGAGAGAAAAATATTTTGGGCTGTTAGACAAGCCACAACTCAGCAGGGGTTCAAGGCGTGGGCCGGCGTGGCCGTGCGACATGTGACTTCATTAAACATACCGGGATGTCACCCCAGCATGGGTCTCTTTCCCCCTTCCCCTCTCCCTCTCTCTCTCTCCCGCATGGATCCTCCGGTTGCCGAGTGTCGTCATAGATTTAACTCCGCCCGATGCGGTGAGGAGGAACCCGTTTGTCGGCCGGACTCCGGGCTGCTGGCTGATTTAGAATGCAGCGGCCGGACACGCACCGTGTGTACACCATATCGACAAAATATGACGGCCAGGGTGGCTCATGGCACGGACGGTGGCACATGGCACCAGCACGGCCCCGGCGCGGCCATGAGCTGGTCGTGTTCGATTTCCCGCTGCTTCCAGTCCTTGTCGCTGCTCCGGCGTCGCCTCCCCGCGTGGGGCCCCGGCCGGCCCGGGTGGTGGTGGGTGTGAAAATGACATCATGGAAATGCAGAGAGCTCTCCGCGAGTTATCGCGCCCGCCGCCGCGGCGAGACCGTTCGAGGACGCGCACGATCTCCGCGACGGGCACCTCGGGCACGCCTGCGCACGCCAGCGTCGTCCCTCCAGTTCCCACAGGACGCCGCCGAGGCCACCGCCGCCGAGCCCAATTGGGCGCAAGGGCACACAAAAAGATTCGTGAGCGCGGCGAGTGGGCCGCCTGGGCCGGGACCCCGCGGAGGGCGCGACACCGGCCCGCCGTCCCGTCCCCACCTCGCCCTTCTCTTTATCTCTGCTCTTTTCTCTTCCAACCAGCTCCCCGCCGCTCCCTTCTGTTTGCCTTTCAAACGGCGGAACGGAAATCAATCATTAACCGCGGAGAATGAATGTCCCGGCCAGGTAGTTTGTTTATGGACCAACTTGCCCCGCCCCCATTGATGCCCGGGACCCTGCCCCCCGAGCCGCCAGGTGCGCAGGGTGCGGAGGTGCGCGAGGCGCCGCGGTGACCTCCCCACCCCACTCTACCCCACCCCACCCGCGGGCCCACGGCGCCCCGGCAGGTGGCGGCGCGCGGCGAACCCCGCGGCGGCCCCCGGGCCCAGGAGGACCCGCCAGGACCGCCGAGGCGCCAAAGTTTAGCAGCGGAGAGATGAGGCCCACGGCGCTTCAAGACAATAAGCCCCGGGTAGAGGGAGGGGAGGCGGGGGCCCCACCCCCTTGGAGGCCCCGCGCGCCTGCCGCGCCTCGCCACGCCGCGGCCCCACACCGAGGGGACAATCAAGCGATAGCGAGCACTCCCAACAGCACAATGAGTAAAACGGCGCGCGCCACGACGCCGGCCCGCGGCGGCCTTTCAGCGGAATTGAGACATCCTGTGGACGACACTTCTTTGCTGCGCCCACACCGAATCACCAGCGGCACGCTCTGCCCGCGGCCCTGCTGCCCCGCTGCCCGCCCTGCTCGTGTGTGCGTGCGCGGCCGCTGACCGCCTCGCCGGCAGAGCCTCCCCCGCGGGACCCGGAGCGGCATGACGGAAATCATTACCCAGATGGGCTCACTAACACTCACTCCATGTGCTGCTCATCCGCAGCCCGAGTCGAGTGATGACTGATGGCCGCGACGGGGACCTCGGTGACGGCGATCCTGACAAGATAGGGCGGTTTACTGCCTTGGCGCGGGCGGGCGCGCGGGGGTCTCCTGACGAGGGCCTTGATGAAGTGCACAGTACAGGGAGGCGGGCGGGCGTCCTTCAGGTCCTGGGCCATCGACTAGGACTGTACCACCACCAGAGAGACCTCGTGCGAGAGTCGAGGAGAACGCCCGCCCTCTCCCTCCTCCCCCGCGCGTCCCAGAGTATGTACGACGGCGAGGGCCGTGTCCAGCCAGTCCAGTCCAGTCCGCCCGGGCGGCTGGGCTCCAGTTTGAGGGAATTAAGACATCCTGCCAGGGTCTCTCTCTTCCCCCCGCCCAGAGGAGTGACCCGCACGGAGTGTGCCACGGCTGGCCGTGCGGCCCGTGGCGGCGGCTTCATAAAGAGATGAGCCACGAGATCTCCAAATGCACATTAATTCCCGCCACGAATTGACCCTTCCCCTCTACACTGCAATAAAACAAAAAGCCTGCCGACGACGAGGGGGACGGCTTGTCTCGCCTCGACGCTTTTCATTCGCCTCCTTTTTGCCGGCCAAGTAGGCGGGGCGGTGCCGAAAAAGCGGCGGCGAGGGCGTGGCGCGGGGTAGCCAACCAGTACCGACGGCTGTGACCCTGTGCCGGGCCGGGCCACGGGCCGGGCCCCTTGTAGTTGTGGCACCTCCTCGCGCCCCGCCACGCCCCGCCACGCCCCGCCGAGCTCAATCCCCAACCACACTGGGCCGTGCGCTGAAATCCCCACCCGCCCATTGCGGTCCAAATAGGGCTCCCCGCCCACCCATTGCAGGGGCTGCCCTTTTGCACGGGGGCGCCGCGCCACGCCGCGCCACGCCACGCACACCACACCGCAAGGAGCAGCCCCGGGCCACGCGTTCGTTTCTTATTTATAGAGTATACATACTAGATCTGGCGCGGCAAGACAGCGCCGCCGCACCACGGGGCGGGCCTGGGCCCGGACAAGAAAAGGAGCACGAGTATGGAAAATTGCGGGGGAGGTGGAAGGGCAGAGAGCGGGGAGAGAGGAGAGAGGAGGACAACACACACTCCACACGCACTCGCTCGCAAATAACAAGACGTGTGCATAAATTTGCAACGGAATTCGCAAAACGTGTCGCTGGGCCCCGGCGGCCATGAAGGACGCACTGCTGGTCCTGCGCGGCCCCGCCCCGCCCGACCCCGGCCGCATTCGCTGAGAATGGCCTGTATTTCTTCATTACTCTCCGGAGAGCGGCGCGAGAGAAGAGTGAGCGGGGAGAGGGGGAGGGGAGGAGGGGTGCAGGAATAAGAAAAGGAGGAAGGAAAAGAAGAAGAAAGTTGAAGGACGAATAGGAGTGGTTGTGTGTTATCGCGCGCCTGCAGGATGAGCAAGGGAGAGGTAGGAGTGGGGGGTAATAATGTGCTCCCGGTAGGGATTTGAACCCACGCGCCTCCAGCGGTGATAAGTTTGAGAGGGAGAGAAAGGTAAAGCACAGGTCGGATGAGCGAACGGAATCCGCGCCCCCCTGAATGTACTACATGTGGTAGCAGCCCCCGGGCTGGGCCCGGCCGGGCCACCCCGAGGGCCGTCATGCGAAGGTGTTGTAGGGCACAATGCCGATCCGTCTCAATTACATTTAAGAGGGCGGCGAACGAGTCGCGCGGCCCGCCCCGCCCGGGCTCTGTACTGTGCGCCGCTGTGCGCGCGGCGTAGGGCCACCGGGAGGACACGGCTGCTGCTCCAGTTGTGTACCTTTCATAATGCAAAGAGAGCTTAGTTTTCTCGTCCAACCGTACCCCCACCCTTCCCCAAATCCTTTCACCGGGATTTTGACCTCGGTTTTACCAGATTTAAATTGGTGCAATGACACCCTCTTCAAAAAACTATACGTACTCAGCCCTGGCCGGTATGCAATCCCGCAACACTGCTGCGCATTCATAGTTACACCCGGTACCTACTGTCTTCAACCATGGCGCCTAACGGCTCGATCGAGTAGGCAACTCGTCCGCACGAGTGCATGCGGCGCAGACTGACTACGAAAGGTGCGGACGGTGCGAGTCAGCTTCACTTGGTAGACGAATTCAAATCGTCTTGACTTGGATCTTGAGGCTGACTGTACTCATCCGCAGCTGCCCTTGCCCTTGCCCAATGACACCCTGCCCCTGATCGGTATCTGCTGACCCTCCCTCCCTCTCTCCCACAGGCACTCACCCCTTGCGTTCCCCCAAACCTCCTCTCTCTCTCTCTCTCTCCGCGCGCGCTCTCCCTCTCTCCTATTTCTCTCACCCCCTTCACACAATGGGGGCAGCGAGCGCGAACGTATTGCGAGCGAACAAGGACATGCGGTGTGGCAGGCGGGGACCGCGGGGGGCCCGCGCGCAAGCGGCGCACGGAGGGCGGGGGGTACAGCCACCCGCAAGAGTCCTGACAAGGCGACGTGAAGCAACGAAAAGGACGTGCTGCACGGAAATTTTCCTTTTCCTTCCTTCCTACTAAATCTCTCTCTCCTCTCTCTCTCTCCTCTCTCTCTCTCCCTCTGTCTCACCATAAACCCCGCCACGCCCCGCCACGGCACGCGTGGCGGTCGCGCACCGAGCGGGAAGGGAAAATGCCGCGACTTCACCCCCTCCCCCCCCTCTCTCCCTCCATCTCTCTCGCTCTTTCTCCAGGCGCACCCACTTGAGGCGCGTTGCCGCCGCCGCTCCGCCCCTTTATTCTAATGTAGATTAATAGCGCCTTATTTGTTCTGCTCGCCCCACACGGCCAGCCGCCCCGGAGCAGCCGCACCAGCCGAGGCACCAGCCGCGCGGAGCCAGAGCCGCAAAG